AGACGACGAGCAAACAACTGTTAAAATGCTCGTTTTCTGAATGGAGTTTGGTTGATCAGGGCTATGCTAACTTAGCTCACAGTAAAGTAACAGTTGGATCAATAACAGACTTTGTTTGGAAAAAGCTTTGGTCAGAAATATATTGATTGTTGTTTATTCAAATCATGTTTATATTATATTCCGAAGACGTCACAATCTATTGTTATATTATAATAACAATTATGTTTGTGGTAAACAGGAAGCAGGAAGTCCGTCACAGGAAGTGGCTCTCCTCCTCCACAGGAAGGGCTTTGATTGTAGCTCCGCCCCCGAGCCGCCGCTGCAGTGCACGTGGAGCGCGCACGAGGAGGTGGACACAACACACACTTATTTATTAATTTATTATTATTTATATGGTTTTCTTTTTTATTAATATATTAACATATTGCTTAAAGTTACATTCAAAACTTTTTTTCTTTGTTTTCAAATGTGTTTAATATTTTCTTTAAATCCGTTTCTTAGATTGAATAATTGCTTTATAGAATCTCGTCTGTTTTTAAAATAGTTTTTATTTGAATTTATTATGATTTATTGTTTGTTTCTTCTGAACTGAACGTGTTTCTGTTTTCAGGTAAACTTGGACGATATTTTCTCTCCTCTTCAGTTCGGTTCTGTCCGTCAGTCGGGTCTCACTCTGCTGCGAGAAGACGACGAGCCGGAATCTGGCCGACCACAGCGGGCGCCACACGTTGCTCGCCTGCGGCCGATGGAGATCAGCGCTTTCCGCGTGGAGATCGGCTAAAAAACCGGCAGCTAAAAGTCCAAATTCAACCAAAACTCTGTGACACAAAAACAATCGAGGGCGAAAATCTAAAGCCGCCAAACCGCTCGTGAACAGTTGGTGAAACGCTAATAATGAATTCGATCATTAATAATCAATCAAATGCTGGAAGAACAAATAAAAAGGGAAACACAGATAATACAAATAAATTCTAAAAACATTTAGAGAATAAAACAAACGGAGCATATTCAATTGTTACAGCTGCAGAGGTCAGTCGGGGTTAAAGGTCAACTATTCAGGGAATCAGGGAACAAACGGGTCAGTCTAAAGGTCAACCACACAAATACAGATTTTGTATAAATGAAGAAAAATAGAAAACACTGAACTTGTTTGTGTTTGAACACTAACGACACAGCTGTGGTTGCTACGGCAACAAGAAGGGACCAAACGAGCGGTTAGCTCGTCGTTCAGTGAATGTTTGTAATTTAGAAAAAAAACTGCTGTTTGCTTCGTTTACGTCCTTTTTTATCAATGAAGTGGGTTTTCTCAGTCTGCATGAAACAGGAAGTAGAGAGGAAGTTGTCACAGTTAATGATCGGCGTTTACAGCCGCCAATAGCACTGAGCTACGAGCTAGCATCAGTGAAGCCGGACCCGGGACCGAACACAAGAGACCGACAGGGAACCCGGTACCGAGGTTCGGCTCCTGGCGTCCCGGGACTCAGTTAGCCTAGCTGCACGTTAGCGGTTAGCTACTGATCAAACAACAATTTCCCCTAGGGGATCAATAAAGTGTATCTTTTTCTTCTTCAATCTGTCCATCAGAAACTGAATGACCTCGGTGCTGTATCGTTACTCCCTGTCGCTCTCGGTGGCTGTGTTCGATCCCGGTTCTGGCGCCTGCTAACGGCAGATACAGTTAGCTGTTAGCAGAGAGTCGTCACATCCAGTTTCACCAGAATCACTGAATCCAGTTATAACGATGGAAGTAGATTAACTCATTAGCTGAGCTACGTCGATAGTTTGAGATAAAAACACTGAAACTGATTCTGACTTCATGGAGACTCTCAATGTGGCATTGTGGGTAACCTGTGTTGATTTTATTGTGTAATTCTGCTCCGATTGTTGAATGTTTCCAGAATGCACATATTTACTTGATGATTTTGTCTTTTTGTGTATTTGCTGTGAAGTTTATGGAAACGATTCAATCTAATGGTTTTTTTATAATTAATAAATTCTCTATATATTTTAAAAAGGTAAATCACTGAAACTAATAAAGTCTTTAAAAGTTAAATTAAAAATATTTTTACTTCATATATCTGTTCAGAAATACAAAAATGTTTTCGTTTTGTTGTTTATTTTAATACAAAAATAAATTGTTTAATTTTTCTTCTTGTTTTCAAAGCGTTTTATATTTCTGTGACTAATTTTTTTATAGAAATTAAAGTATGAAGTTATTGACTGCTGGGATTATTTTCACTAATCAATCACATCAGTGAAAACGTGTCACATGGTCCTCAGACATGGGCATGGCCTAATGGCTCCTTATGGTGCGTTCGTTTTGTCTC